GCAGTGTAATATCAAATACAAAGGAACTATATATACTTCATTAAAAATTAGCAATAGCCAAGATCAACAAGCGTTAATATAATGCTTATCTAGTTGCTGAATAATGACTTTAGTTGTCATTGTAGTCGGCATTGTCGTTGTTGTTGAAGTGTTCGTTGCTATTTATTATCATAGAAAAATTTATGCAAACAAAGCAGATAGTTTGGGTGTAACATGGAGTGCGATATAGAACTCGAAGCACTTAAGCTTTAGATGTAGTCTAAGCAATGTTTCAAAGCAGAGAGACGGTCTCAAACGGTCTGGTAATCGAATTTTTTCTTTCAAAAACTGATGCTTGATGGAAAACCACTGTGTTCATCAAAGGCCAAAACCAAGTAAAAATGTCGACGATTCGATTCAGTATGATTTGATTGAATTGAGCGATATCGATTGGACACTTCAGATCTGCTTTCTTGATTTTGAGAAATCTTGGAAACAAACCAAAGACTTCTGAGACAGCGAAAAAATCATCTCATCTAAAGCGTCATAGATTATTTGTTTGACCTGTATAGCTATGCTTGCGGAAACTCGTCAAAAGGAATTAAAATGAGGTAAATCTAGCTGAAAAACAGCTGATGCAAGCGTTTCCGAGACTAAAGTAAAAGCTTATTCTATTCAAATTCGGCCCTTCTGTTCCATTTTTGGATACGAACAACAATTCATGTGCACTGGCTGCTGTTGCAGTACAAGATCGTTACCCGAAGTATGAAGGATGTGATTTCAACCTCTCACATAAAGTGCTCATCTGCTACGGTATTAATCTCAGGTCATTAGAATATTCTGTCATCAAATTAGCACTATGAGTGAAATGAATTTAAAGGGATATTCGAAAAAACAGAATAATATTATAGAGATAAATTGTTACGAATTGTCTCGATCCTCTCGTCATTAGACCCCAGGTCAATCATGGTCGGCCGTACACAGCCGTACACTAACCAATCACGGAGGATAACGGCGGCTGTTTACGGTAGCCGTCCGCAGCAATGGTAAACAATACTTTACGGCATATTACGACTACTGTAAACAACGCCCGTAAAAGGTCACCGTAAATCGCTAGCGTAACAATACGGCGACTGTATACTTTGCTCGGCAAACGGCGTTAGACATCGTATACTTCAGCTGTTCGCGGTAGCCGTTTACAACACTCGTGTATGCTGCTTTACGACATATTACGGCCATTGTAAACGATGAACGTAGAATGTTGCCGTGAATGACTACCGTAGCAATACGGTGACTGTATACGATCATTGGAAAATATGGCAACGCACCGCCCGTGTCCAATCTAACTGGTCTGATAGAGGACCATTATTTTTTGGATTAAAATCCATTTCTGTGTATCAACAATTCGATGGAAAAATCGAATTTTTTCAGTCTTTCTCAGACATTGTCCACCATATATACATAAATGCGCCACAGGTTACAACTCATTCGAGCCATAGCACAGGTAGCAGTAACATTCATTAAACATCGGATTACAATGAGATATTTACAGTCTTTTTCATATTACACCGATCGCAGGTCGCCAGTGCAAACAGCAATTCTTTCTGGCTGTCGACAAACTAAAGCTACCCTAAAGGATTCGCGATCTATCTCAATTCATGACTCACATCACTGAATCCGATTTCTCAACAACACGAAAGCCAGAGCTACTCATATTTAAGTAATTTCGAAGATAACTCTTAGTGCTCTAGGATCGACCCAAACATGATTAATAGCTATTTTGATAACAAGAACAAATAGTCACCCTCAAACGTCATTAATAACTGCCTTCATAGCTACACCTACAAGCGACCCTTAAACATTATTGACCCATTTTAATTGACCAATCAGATTGCGAGATTCTAGTTCTCAGCTACAGATAAGGAGGGGCCCTATACATATACCCCTCATTCGATGGAGCACCCTAGAATCGGCCCGAACATGACTAGGCGTTGTCCTTATAATAAGCAAGAAAAATTCTACCGAATTGTGATTGGTCCATAACATTATGCGATAGGGCATCGTATACGGCCGCCGTATACGACACGGCGATTTACGGCCGTAATACGGCGCATATACGGCCGTATTTTCGCCGTATACGGCGTCGTAAACGGCCGTATGCGGTCGTCGTAATCCTTGACTTGGGTTGCTCGGGATGCGGCCGTTCACTACCGTATACGTCCCCAGCTGCGCAGTAAACGTTGGCATGTTCTGCTGTATACGATGGAGCTGGGTGATTGTACGGTTTTTGCTGGGTCGTATACGGCGTCCTAAACGGCCATATACGGTCGTATCTGGTCGTCCTAATGCTCGACCTGGAACAGTTTGAATTTTTATATTCTTCTCTTACGAAATAAATCTTGGAAATTTCTCATATTCAGGTATTGTCTTCAGAATACGTATCTGTACCAACGGTGACTCGCCAACATGCATTCTGCTCTCATTAGTACCTTACTGAGGCAACTCAGCTAATGGTGCTGCAAGCCTTGAAAAACGACTTACATACACAACTGCATTACTTTTCATAAGTGGCATATTCATCCCATTCAATCATTAATGTTCTTTTGAGTTCTAGCGATCACTGCGTCATATCTAAATGACCAGCGTTCACTTTGACATATTTACTCATTAGAAATAGAAGAGAGAGAATTATAAATGCGTTTCTTGTGCACTAACTGTCAATCAAAGTTGTTTTGAAAAAAGTACTGTCTATTGAACTTAATTTTTACAAGAATGAGTCAACAATATAATGAACATTTGGGATAAAGAAGAGGGTGGTACAAAAGAAGTGATATACCCTATGAAGATTCCAACATATTACACGTTGTACAGAATTGAATCAAATCAAATAATCGATTTTTCATTTTTTTTCGGTCTCTGATGCACATTCAAAACTTTCCTGTGTTTTCATGTATTGCTAAATATAACTACAAATTCTTCATTTTAAATTAATGGATATGGTCCATGAGAAGAAACGAAACTTTTTCCCCAATAATTACATTTCACTTTGTTTTCTTCACGATTTATCTACATCTTTTAAAGCCTCTTCGGCTCTTCCTCACCATTCTCCTATGTGTGGGTGTGGCGCGGGCAGATGAACAAAGGTCCGCTGACGCTCCGACCCAATCCACATCCACCTACCTGAAAAATTCCGTTCAATTACTACGAGTTCAATAGTCTTTATTCACTTTGAGAAATACTTTTAGAAGAAACATGCATTATAAGTATTGTTATTTTGGCGCACCGACTAATTTTATACAAAACTTTCAATGAAATTTAGCAAGACTTGGAACGCTTCTCCATCAATCCAAAAAAAGACAACCTTGAATTTTAGGTAAGAAATGACGAAGATATTCAAGTATTTTTCATGACAGACTTTTGGGACAACCTGTATATTCCCAAGCAATATCAAGAATTCTAATAGAACAGCTCTTAACACAAACACAATATCAACTTATTCGTTTCTTCCGAGCACGGAAGGCCGATTGATGCAATGGAATTCGGACAAAAGCAGCCGAATATATAATTTCCAGAAAATGCTTGTTCAACACAAGTAGCTCCGAATACTTCGCATATACTTTCGCGATCACAGACTCCTTTTGAGGCAGAATATGCAGTGTATCACAAAAGTCGCTTGTGTAAAATAATATCCCATAACTCCACTATTTAATTAAACTTAAGTGATAATAGTTTTTTCACGGTGGGTGAGAGATTTTTGATGAGGGTCTTCTCTTCACCTTCACCTATCTACATCCATCAACATCATAATACCCTCTCCAACCTCAAACTGTCATCATCGCCCATCCTCTTTCGGATCACTGAAAACAAATATATTATTTTTTTGAAAACTTCCGGTGAAGTCCCTAATTCAGTTCTCTCGAGAATATCTTACTGTGCACCGAATATTCAGTTTAACGTCCCTTACTATTGAGTAATATGCCACGAGAACATACATATCTATCTAGGATTCTCTTAGTCTCATCGAGGTTTATTATTGGGCAAAAGTTCAGATTGTTGTCGTGAAACTAGTGATAGTATCTCCTTGGTCAGTAGTTTTTTGTAATAGGATAAAAGCAGATTTCCGCATTTCAGTGGCTAGCGGCAGTTTTCAAGAGTAGCTGAGATATTTCTCTTTAAGAATAAAAACTTGCCGATGATGGTAACTATCATAAGAAAAAAAGAGAATCAATTAGGTTTAATCAAAAAGTGGTGTTATACGAAATTATTTTACACCAGCGAGCTTTGGAGCACCTGGTTAGAAACCAGAACCTTGGATAGTAACTTACGACACCGTTGATTCATCTGAAACTGCTTATCAGGACACGTAGAAATAACTGTTTCACTTAAGGTTTCATAACAATCATAGCCATTTGCTGGTATAAAATGATCATCGAGTTCGCATATTGAACCGATTTTTAACATGGAATAGGGAGCTTATTTAAGACTGTAGTACATATTTCACTTACTAGAAGCAGTTGCTGTTGTAATCAGCACGAAGAAAACGACGGTACAAACCAAAGTCATCATTCAATTGATCAAAAAACGTCTTGCATACGAAATAAATAAGTGTGAGTCGCAGCTGCAAAGTTTCTCAGTTATCCTTTTTCTCATTTCTAGCACAATGATAAGTGAGTGTGGGTTGCCACTATGTGTGCGAATAGTTCTACCGTATGTGTGACAGGTTTCAACGATATTCTTCAAGGATGTGGGTGTGTAATGAATTTGTTAGCTACCACAACGCGTTTCGTTCCGGCAAAGGGTGTGGGTATGAGTGTTAGTGTGTGGGTGTGGATGTGGATGTGGATGTGGGTGTTGACCTTCTCTTCATCAGCACCCACACCCACACCCACCCACCCTAAATACTGGGGATTCAACTATCCGCGTACACTTTATGAGCTAGTTAGTAGTTGGTTTTGTTCGTACTCTCATATAAATCACTGGGTATTTTTGTTTTTAATTTTTAGCTAATTAATGCAACAGTAATGACACCATGTTTACCTGGTATAAGATGTTTAAAAATGAGTTCGTCGGATTGGAATGGTTTGGATGGAATGACACTAATTATTTGGCTACTGTTGGCATCCAATGTTAGAGAATTTTATTTGCCAGGAACGAATAATGCTGATAAATTACAACTAGGAGAAGAACTCAACGTATTATTTACAATTGATTCACGTTTGAGAACGATTTCAACTCGTATTGAACGAGTCATTATTAATTGGTCTTTTGATCAGAATGATGATCAAACAAAACCGGAAGTTTTCGATCTTTTTGCAAAATTTTTTCCAAAAGCTATCATTTGTAATGTGTAAAATTCTTGCATGGAATTATGTCTATAAATAGTTTTCCTACAAAACTATATCAGAATCAAATAAATCTAATATTAATATAGAAAAACATCTCTCAACATAAAATGATGCAATTGCTGTTGATAGTCACAAGAAGATTGTTATAGTCTATGTATTTCAGATCATACTTCTTTACTGTTCATTTACTTAATCTTCCAAAAATGTAATAAGAAAATAGTTCATATATTATGACGAGACGTTATTGATTTCCAGTCTGTAATTGTATATCAATAACATTTCTCATAGTCTGTGATGACGTGCAAAGTTCTATCCTATGGTTTAATACTCCTTTTAGATCATATTTCACAAAACCTATAGCTTAATGATTTCAATACTGAAGTCGCTACTATTTTACACTGATATATTCTTATTGAGAATAATGTTTTCGACTAGAATCATCAGTTTGAACTACTTTATGCGTTTGAGATTATTAAAAAGAAGAGGCAAATAAGTCTTGTTCAACAAATTCTTATTCGATTATATTGTTTATTTTTATTGTAATCAAATGAATAATCATTTTATAGAAGTATGTAAAACAGCTGTTAGCGCAATCCCTTGCGGGATTAAAAATGTGAAACACGATAGACCTACTGTTACTAATTAAATGGATTTCGTTTTCTTCCGTTTTTTTATGATAGATTTCTAGCTTATCGTTTGTTTTAATCTTCCAAAACTACAGTTTCTGTGTAACAGTCTGTGAAGGGTTTAGATATTCTCTGTCACGGCCTGTAATGGCCTCTGGAGTCTCTTTGTCGTGGTCTGCGATGGGTTTGGAGCTTCTCTGTCACAGTCTGTGATGATTATTAATTTTCTATCACGGTCTGTGACGGTCTCTGAGGGTTCTCTGCCACGGTCTGTAATGGTCTCTGGGGTTTCTCTGTCACGGTCTGTGATGGTCTCTGTGGTCCCTGCGTCACGATCTATGATAGTCTTTGGGGACTCTCTGTCACGGTCTGTGATGGTCTCTGAAGTCCTTCTGTCACGGTCTGTGATGATCTCGGGAGGAGGGGGTTCTCTGTCACGGTCTGTGATGGTCTCTGGAGTCCCTCTGTCACGGTCTGTGACGGCCTCTGAGGGTTCTCTGCCACGGTCTGTAATGGTCTCTGGGATTTCTCTGTCACGGTCTGTGATGGTCTCTGTAGTCCCTCCGTCATGATCTGTGATAGTCTTTGGGGACTCTCTGTCACGGTCAGTGATGGTCTTTGGGAGTTCTCTGTCACAGTCTGTGATGGTCTTTGGGAGTTCTCTGTCACGGTCTGTAATGGTCTCTGGAGTCCTTCTGTCACGGTCTGTGATGGTCTTGGGGGG